CCAGTGCAAAAGGACTGTAATCTGGCAGCATCAGATCTATTATCCCTCTACAGAATGAACTGCCCAAGGTCTTCCCATGGAGTGACGAAGATTCAGCTGGAGCTGCTCACTGCTGCGTGGAGGGACACCAGAGTGTGACTGAAATGAAGCCACAACGAAAGACTCAAACATTCAAGGGCATTCAGGAGCTGCCACTGTTACAAGTCACAAGGCAGAGCTATGCCATTTCTGTTTCTGAACATGCTTTTACAGCTTATGAGCCTCAAACGCTTCACTAGCTCAAGGGTCCATCCATAATAGAGCAGAATTTGGACACAAACCTCCATATATCAACTAAGTCAGTTAAGTACCTACAGACCTGCAGCTGAGGGGTTATGAGCTGAGGTATGGGGTGAGCGACCACAGCTCTGTCTGGCAACCACACTTTGCTTGTTGGTACCAATGAGAAACTCGTGTAGAATGACAGAAAAAATGGATTTTGAAACTCATTTTCATCATGAAACAGCTACCAAGGGATACACTGTCCTCTCAAATGAGTCAGGCAGTCTGTACCTCATGAGTGCCCCTGCAAACCAGCCCTCTGCACCGCCCTGATCTCTGCCACAGCTGGTCAGTCCTGCTCTCTGTCAGAGACTACATCCACATCCTGAACTCCAGGAAAGACTGGTCTGAGTCTGCACTTGGGTGGGAGATGCCTGCCACATTTTACAGTTTGGGTTTTGAAGAGATAAATTATGATTGCTTTTCTTCCTCCCCAAGTGGGACTGATCCAATGATCCAAAATTGCCTGTAACTGTATATCCATCTTCCCGCCTTGAATTAATGGATGATGTGAAAATAAATTCTGATAAACTCTCTCCTGGGCTCCAGTAATTCCCATGGATTTCGCTAAGAATGTTTTGGGTCTTTCCAGTTCCCTTGAAAATTGGGAATATGCTGATTTTTCAACAGAGTGACACAGGCTGCAGTTCAGCTGAGGCACACACAGAGACGTGGAGGTATTTGCACAGTTAAAAGTGTATCCAGAGAAACATTGCTGGAAGGCAAATGTGGAAGGCAATAGGAATACCTGTACTATTTATTTCCAGAATATACATTACATAATTGAGACAGGAGAAATTAGGAGTTTATATCTCCCACACAGCCATTGGAGAGAAGTGGGACCACTTTTGGGGTCCGAGGGGCAAGTGGAAGCAGTGTAGAACAGTTGAGCTGAGTGCCTGGCACAGGCAATAAAGTAATCCCTCAGTGTTCATCTTAGGAGTGAATATGTCAAGGTAGAAAGATTACAAATCCCACCTGAAAAAGGAAATATAAATATATGGGTTCTGATGAGGGAAAATTGCAAGTGAAATTGCCAGGTAGAATTCATCAAGCACAAGAAATGTCTCAGATGCTACAACACATAAGATATTGAAAAAAGTACAATCAGAGAGCACAGCAGGTATCATGTGTCAAAGGAACTTCATTGCTTGGGCTGATGACTAACACCACTTACAGAGAAATCAAGCCCAGCATGCCAATGCAACCTGACAGTGAGCACATCTCAGAGGCAGCTGCTTCTGATTTGTAGGGCTGCCAGAAAAGTGGTTAGCAAGTGCCTTCAGAGGCTTCTGTTCAGAAATCCTGTCAATCAGCAGAGTTAGTAAAGAGTTATTTAACAGTTGAGACAACTGTTTGTACAATTTCACATCTGGATAAATCAAGACAGACAGGAAAGTAAATGCTCATTTCTTCCTTCTACTTCTCACACCGCTGCCCTAAGAAGGGGCTGAACAAGAGGCAGCGCCATCAGTGTCCCCCTTTCAAGAGGCAAGGGAAGAGAAAACACCAAAACAAACCTGCCACTCCCACAGGCCTATTTACCCAATTCCATGTGATTTACAGACCTTTCTTATCTGTTATTCTCTGTGCATTCCTTAAATCTCCACGTGTGGTGGGGTTGTCATATGCCATGGCAGCTGCCCCACTGCTGAAGCCGTGAAGTCTAAAAGCCACCAAGGAAAGTGTTTTCTTGTATCCTTCCACTTGGAAACTTAACACATTGGTCTGAGCTCCTTCCCCCACTCCTCAGGGGTTTTAACAATGCTTTCCAAGTAGGTACCAAGTGGAAATGAAGCCTCAAACCATTCTGAGTATCCCATCCCCTGTACCATCTTGTTTGCCAATTTAAGGAGCTGTACCTCAGTATCTGCATAAACAGCTCTACTACTCCTCAGATTTTCTGAGATCAGGATGCTTTTTATATACAAAAGGCTCTGCAATGTACATTTCCTATTACTCTGCTCGTGGTAAAGATCAGAAAGCCAGATAAATTCTATTTTCTCTCACTTCTCCCTTTCCAGATAGCACTGAATATAATGTAAAACCAGAACCCCAACAACCCATGACATCCTAAGAATTCCTGCTTGACAATACCCTTGAAATTCCAGTAAATATTAAATTGTGTCATGTTTTTTGATGGTCTGTAACATCAATCACAGATGACATTAATACAAGTGTCTGACACAGTATTTGCAACACTCTGTCCAAGCCACTTTCTTCCTCTTCTTGCTGTTATTTCCTTTGCCATTTTTCTGGAATTGGTGCTGTTGAAGAGCTGCAGGCCTTTGCTATTATTCTCTACTCCATAAAAACTCAATTATTGGAGTCTGATAGCCTGCCTGGATTACATGAGGACAAAGAAAGGCCCAGCAGGAGGAAAGCATGGCCGGGTGACCCTCTGATACCATGGACAGCGGCAGAGACCCCTCCGGCCCCCAGGAAAGGTAATTAGGTAGAGAGGCAATTTCCTTTGGATTTTTGAACTATTTCTGCGCTATCAATTCAAGGGAAAGAGAGGAGGAGAAAAAGAGGGGTTCAGCAAGGCCAAATGAAAGGTCCTGCACCTGGGTCGGGGCAACTCCTGGTATCAATCCAGGCTGGGGGATGAAAGGAATGAGAGCAGCCCTGGAGAAGGATTTGGGGGTGCTGGTGAGGATGGACATGAGCCAGCAATGTGCTCTGGCAGCCCAGAAAGCCAGTTGTATCCTGGGCTGCATCCAAAGCAGTGTGGGCAGCAGGCGAGGGGAGGATTCTGCCCTTCTCCGCTCCGGTGAGACCCCACCTGCAGTGCTGCATCCAGCTCTGGACCCCCAACATAAGAAGGATGTGGACCTGTTGGAACAAGTCCAGAGGAGGCCACAAAGATGCTCAGGGGGCTGGAGCACTTCTGCTATGGAGACAGGTTGAGAGAGATGGGGGTGTTCAGCCTGGAGAAGAGAAGGCTCTGGGGAGATCTTACAGCACCTTCCAGGGCCTAAAGGAGATTATAAGAAACACAGGGGCAGATGTTTTAGCAAGGCCTGTTGCCATAGGAAAGGGATGATGATGTTTTTAAACTAGAAGAGGGTAGATTCAGACTAGAGATAAGGAAGAAATCTTTCACAGTGAGGGTGGTGAGGCCCTGGCACAGGTTGCCCAGAGAAGCTGTAGATGCCCCATCCCTGGAAGTGTTCAAGGCCAGGTTGGATGGGGCTTTGAGTGACCTGGTCTAGTGGAAGGTGTCCTTGCCTATGGCAGGGGGGTTGGGACTGTACGACTCCAAAATGTTCCTTTCAACACAAAATATTCTATGATTCTGTGATTCTATGGAAAATATGCTTTAGGAAAGTTCTGTTAAAAAAAAAATGAACTAGCTATTATTTAAAATTACAAGGTTTTTCTCCTTTGCATAATTTTATATATATTATATAATTTTAAAATATTAATATAAAATGTGCTATACTTAATATAAATGTGTAGATTTATATATAATTTAACTCTATTTGTTGATGTTTGGTTGTCAGCAAATGGAGAGATAACAGACTCTGTACCAGATTTTAAATAAAACCCTCAATCCAGAAATTATTTTTATTATAACTTCCACCCCTTTACTCCTTTTCCCTGAGTGGCTCCAAGAGTTCAGCTGGCAAAGAGGACTGGTGAACCACAGACAGAAACTTTTCTTCAGGTTTGAATACTGTTGATTTTTGATTAAAATAAAATATTTTTCTCAAATTTCAGTTTCTATAAAAGCCTTTTTTAAATTAAATTAGAAGATAACTTGAAACACAATATTAAAGAATTTTACACCAAAGTTGTCAAAGCTGACATTTTCAGAAACACATGGAAGCTTATGTTGACTAAAGTAATGGAATCAATCAAAATTCATAAAATACTCTGATCCACAAATAAGAAATACTTATTTCTCCAGCTTTTCCTTCCTTACTTCCTTCCTTTCCTTCCTCCCTTCCTTTCCTTCCTGCCTTCCTTCCTTCCCTCCCTTCCCTCGAGTGGAAAAACATAATTTAAACTATATTTTATTATTGTCAAAGGGTAATCTGCTATTTCTGAATACAAAATGATCCAAACATGCTCTTCCATCACAGTTTAGTTATCAACATCAAACACAAACCCAAAACCTGGGAGGCCAATGGCCAGCCAAGAGCTAGGCTACTCCAGGTAGAGGACAGTAAATCTGAGTTTCTTTACTTTTCACCAATCCTACTCAAGAGATTTCTTTTCCAGGCTCATTGAGAAAACTCTGCAAGGACGTTTTTGGTTATATGTGAAGCCACAGTCCAAAACCTCTGCAATTCTATTTGGAAAACAGGTGGGAAAGGAGAGAGACTTACTGGTGACAGCAAGCCAGTGTGAAGAGTTGATGCATTTGGGTGTGATTTAGGGGGTTGTTTTAGAACAAGGGCTATGGACGAGGTTGCCACCCAAGCACTCAAAGAACGAGATTTTCACACCTTCTCTGCCAAGCTCATTTTCTGCCAGCTCATTAAGTTGAGTGAGCTCCCAGAGGAGTCCGAGAGGTGTCAGTCACTCCCTCAAGCCCAGACCTGCAGCTGGGAAGAGGGCTTCTCCTTTGCAGGCAGCCAATTTAGCCAGGTTTGCCCCCCGGACATGCCTAAACAACCCACCGCCCTGCTTCCAGCTGCTCCAAAACCCAACACCCACCATCCCATCGCTCCGACCCCGACCCAACCTCCCTGGCAAGGCAGGGAGGGACTGGGCAGGTGACACGTCACCAACGCTGATGCCACAGGTTCCCCTTCCAGTCTGGGGTTTTTTTCGGCATTTTGGTTCATGAACAGAACACCCTATTTAGCAACGGAGGAGACAACCCCACTGAACCCGCTTATTTTTATTTTCGTGCATCAGATCGCCGTGCCCTTGCAGCTGCGGCGGGGCGGGGGGAGTGGGAAGGCTGGTTTGAAGGCAGGGGAAAAAAAAAAAAAAAGCACCATTTCCACGGGGAGCTCCGGCTCCCGGAGGGATGAAACGGCTCCCGGCAGGGAGCGGGGAGGAGCGGGGCAGAGGAACGAGCGGGGCGGCTTCCACGGCTCCCTCGGTAAGTGCTGCCGCCGGCATCCTCATCCCCGTCCCCATCCCCGGGCAGGTCCTGAGATCCCCTCCCCGGGCAGGGCTCCCCGTGGGCTGTACTGCCGCCCCTCGCCGCTCCGGGTGGGATTCCCTCTTTAGCAGGCTTCCCCCAGGCAGGTCGTGTGCTCCCTGCCCAAAGGACACACACCCCCAGACAGCGTTTCCCAGCCCGGGCAGGGCTTCTCCCTCTCCTTCCCCATCCCCGAGACAGACCCCGGGCTGGTTCCCCCTGCCCCGGCCTGATGCAGGGGCACATGTGCTCTCCAGCATCCTCGGGGTTTTGCCCTGCCGGTGGCCAGGGGCTTTGCTCCCCGGAGGGTTGGCATTCTTACTCCCCGAGTTTTGGAATTTTTTACCCCAGGGAGTTGGATTTGGAACCCCGTGGCTCGCGATTTGCACCCCGGGGGTTGGTGTTTTTGCGCTCAGGGGCTGGGGGTTTGGCACCCCAGGGCTTGGTAGTTTGGCAGCACAGGGACTGTGTGTTTGGCACCCCGGCTCGGTCGCTCCCCCAACACCAAAGGGCACCCCCATGTTTGCAGAGTGGATTTAACTTCGCCTTGAGTTTTACTGCTGTGGTTACGCTCCAGTCTCTCCTCTCTCCTCGGAGCAGTGGTTACGAGAGAGCTGCTCTGGCTGTGGAGGAGCGTGCCCGTCTGCCGGGGGGCGATCCCAAACCGCTGTGCCGGCTGTAGGTGCGGGTTCCATGTCCTGCCTTGAGGCAGGAGCCATCAGCCTCACGCAGCCGGGCTGGGAGAAGTTCCGTGGGGAGGGATCCGGGAGCCCCGAGAGCTGCTCTGAGTCCTTTGTACCCTGCTGCTGAGCAAGATCCACGCTCCGGGCTCAGGGATACTGCTCAGCTGCTTCAAGCCGGCCGGCTGCGGTCAGCCGTCAGCTTTGAAGGTAAGGATACTGTTCTTTGCCGGGTTTCCAGCCCCGGGGCTGGCAGAGAGGCCGTGGGAATTGTTCTGTGCCGATTCCACACCTTTAAATGTGGGAAAAAAATGCTGCCCTTCAAATGGGAAAGTTGGATAGAGGGAGGGAGAAGGAAAGTCAGTGCAGAGGCTCAGTCGCTGCGTGGCCTCCTTGAACGCAGATTGTACGGGTGGAAGCATCCCCAGGGATGTTCCCGCTCCTTTATCACCACACAGAGCCTTGCACAGTAATGCACTGTTCAACAAATTACTGAGCCGATGCAGTTTTCACTCACAGGGAGGAGGAGGAGGAGGGAAATGTGTTTGAGGTCCTGGAGCAGGTGTGATTTTCGAACCTGCTGCCGTAGGTTGGTTCCTTCTTGGTTTAGCAGAGTCTGACAGCAAATACATTTCCAGTAATGTATTTCCATTTTTCATCATTCCTGTAAGATTTTAAAGTGCAGTCAACCTTGAGATTGCAGAGCTTGTTTCTTTTTTTGCTCCCTTGCCATCAAAATATACCTTTTACTGACGAAATTAACCTTTTGCTTGGGATTTTTCTGCAGAATAAATTAGGTCAAACTTTCTGGATATTAAAGGGAGACTGAAATGATGGGGTTGCTTTGCTCAGGCAACCTGAGAGCAGAATCTAGCCCATGAGTTTTTTTGAAGGAAAGTAAAACTATAATAAGAACAAATAAGAACAGTGCAAACCCCGAGGCATCTGAGGTCCCCAGGAAACCTGGGATGCTCCCACATCATGGTACAATTGGGCATTTATCCTATTGGTTTAAGAGGGCTCCTTACAGAAAAGACTGAAAGACTGATGTTGTAGAAAGACTCTGGGGTATATGAGCATCACAACCCTATGGGCTGGTGCAGCTCATGGGAGAATTTAAAAGCTACAATATTTTAAGCTGTGGAAGTACATCCCTGGGAAGGATGGCACATCCTGCTTTGTCCCAGTAATTTCCACAGAGATGTTAGGATTGTCTCATCTCCCACTTTCCTGCATTAACAATTCTCCAGGTGGAGAAGCTGCACTTCTCAGTTAACAGGGACTGTGGATGAGCTTCCAGGGCCCCTCTGCCTGGGGATCCTTGAAAAGGAATCAGGAGCAGCAAGACCCTGTTGTCTGCACTCTAAATTAGGGTTCAGGGTCCAGGCCTGAAGTTTCAAGCACCCATCATCCCTTTCTTTTGTCATAGAGAAGTCATGGATGTCAAATAAGGACAGCCTTATTTCCAGTCCTCAGCCTGTCTTTGACCAAAGAATAGTTAGACAAGAGGGTTTTTCCCTAATGTTTTTTGAGTGTGGGCACATCTGTCTCCTGTTTTTGTTCATCATTGAGTCATACTCCTGGATATATCCTGCATTAAGGAACCTTCTGTGAGTTTTTCACTTGAGAAGACCTTTTAACCCAGGCTGATGGCTAAGATGGCACTTGAGGAGCACAGGGCACTTGCAAAGAGAAACTCTAATAACCGTGTCCTAATGCTACTTAAAGTTTGAGAGTGGTGTGTATTTGCAGAGCAGTAGCAGAGCAATGTTCTGTAAGTAACAATCTGCTTTAATTAGAGCTGTACTAACACTGATACAGACTTAATGACCGCCTGGGAACAGTCTTTGCAGAAAAAGGAAAACGTGGCTTTGAAACCTTCTTGTTTCAGTTACATCTAAAAAACCCCAGATAATTAATCCAGACTTCTCCTCTATCATTCTCATCTATCCACGGCTATGGAACAAAAATCTGACACCATTTTTTAAAAACCTTAAGACCTGGTGTTTTACAAACCAATGCCAGATTTTAAGGTTTAAACCATAGGTTTTTCGTCAAAATTGATTTTTGCTGTTCATGTCTTAGAAGCCCCATGGTCTTCGGGGACAATGTGGAACTGACTGGGTGGTGCCCATGTGTGTAAACTGGTTAGGGGTCAGCTTGAGGTGGGAATCAGAGGACTGTTTCCAGACCTTACAGAAGTACCAGAGGTGTGAGGACACCAGCATGTCCCAGCAGATATGGGAGATGAGCTGGGAGATGGATGTGGAGCACGGAATGGCCCTTGCAGTGGCAGGTTCTGGAGCTTGGCTGGCTGTGTGGCCACGGGTTGTCTCCATGTGGTTTTCCCAGCTGGCAGTCACTGTGCTGTCTGTGCAGACCATGCAGGGGGGGAGAACGGGCTGAACAGTTTTTCTGCCAGGAAGTGTGGCTGCATTGAAATCCAACTGTTCTGCAGGAGCTCATCCAACCTGGTGACATCCTCAGTGGGGCTGTTACAAAGAGTGGCACAGATTATCCCCTTTCCTGTCAGTAACAGAAGAGCTGGAGACAGGATGCTTTATTTTATTTTTATGGGGTGTTACTGGGATGTGAAATGTCGTCCAAGGAACATTTTCATTAAGACTGATGTACTTAAGACACCCTGCAGACTTCTAGCAGTGCTGGCTCAGGGGGCTGCCACAGAGATGATGTCCAAAAAATGTGCCTGTTCATCCCAGCTTGGCTGAGTAGAAGCTTTCTTTCTTACCTTCTTAGTTATTTCTAGACAGCTTTAGTTATTTCTTGATTTTACTTTTTTTTTTTTTAACTTGAAAAAAACAAAACCACTAAATCCAGCTAATAAATAGAAGTAAAGGGAGGGAGCTGAGGATTTTGAAGGATGAGTGGGTGCATGTGATACATGATTACATCCAAGGACAAGGTCAGCATTGCTCTTAGAAAAAGCAGCCCAGCTTTACAATCATATAGGAGTGCCTGGAAGAAGTGAGCAGGTATGTGGATGAGAAGCACCTAGCTGCTGTAGCCTGCTTGGATTTCTGAAAGGTTTTCAATATGGTCCCTCATGGTGGGGGATTTTAAGGAAACTTAATAGCCCTGAGCTAAGAAGGAAGTTCCTTGTGTGAATAAATACTTGTCTGGAAGGTGAAATGCAGGGGGAGAGTGGACAGTGAGTCAGCATGTGGAAGAGAGGCCAGTGATGCTCTTTGCAAGGATGGGGGCTGGGATATGTGGGAACCTATAAACCTCCAACTGGAAAAATCATGAATCCTGAAGTGGTGATATTTGCAGGTGAAACAAAGTTTAATCAGGGCCTGAAGGATAAGGAAGGCCTGACTCAATGAATTGTAGAAAAGCTTTTATGAGACTCAGTGAGCATTAAAGTGGAAGAAGAAACTCAACTGTGAAGTGATGGAGTTTGGGGAAGATGAAGAGAACTTAATTTCCTCATTTCATCCTATTTTCCCATCTAAAGCTGCTGTTACTGCTCAGGAACAAGACCTTTGGATGGTGACAGCCCAATGGAAAGGTCAGTTCAGTGCTCAGCACCAATCAAACCAGCAAACCGAGCCCGGAATGGTCATGAAAGGGAGGCAGGACAAAATAGAGATTATGCCCTTAGATAAATCCACAGTCCATTTACCTCTCAGAATTTTTTTTGAGTGTTGGTCCATTCGGACTGGAAGATGAAGCTGCCCATGATGGCAGTAAAAAATCTCTTAACTTCGGAGCCTGAAAAAGCACCAGGACAACCCAGGGCAGGGCATGGGCTGGACAGTGGGGTTATGGGAGCAGCCAGCCTGGGCAAGCAGCCTCAGCTGGTCTGGGGGTGGCAAAGTTGATGGTGATGAGAATATAGAATCATAGAATGGTTTAGGTTGAAAGGGACTTTAAAGATCATCTAGTTCCAGCCCCCACACTTTGTGGGCATGGCATGCTGTTCAGTGGGATCTAACCCAGCTGCTTTAATTTTTGCTTTCAGATGTTTGCTTGTCCTTTCTCTGATCTCAGTACATTTCTTTTTTCTTTTATTTTTTAATTTTGTCTCACATTTCCTCTGATGATGCATTTTTGTTCACAGAAGGGCTTTTAATTGCCATGAAGGACTTATGCTGCACATTTATCCTCACCTTTAGGATTTCAGACACTTCTAATGGACTCATAACCACAGGACAGTGATGGCACAGGCACAGCAGGGTGCGTGAATTTTCCTTGGAGTAAATAAAGCATAAACAATATTTCTGTTCTTCATTTCACACACCTACAAGTTGTGCATCAAAGTAATTTTGTTTTTCCCCTTTCCTCTCTTTCAGATTTTAACAGTGGGAAGATGCTGATGGACAAAAATGAAACTTGGCTCTCTAATTTCTCCTCTGCTGCCTCCTCCTTTGTGAGGAGAGGGATCGGGCTCCAGGAGGTGGTCATTGGCCTGATCCTCACCCTCATCGACCTGATCACCCTCCTGGGAAATACCGTGGTCTTCCTCTGCCCCGTGGTGGAGAAGAGGCTGCGCACTGTCACCTACATGTTCATCATGTCCTTAGCCATGGCAGACTTCCTTGTGGCCTGTCTGGTCATGCCCTTCAGGTGAGGAGTGTCACTGGTACAGTGACATGTACACAAAAGTCCTTTCTCCCTGCTCTGCATCCGCTCTTTGAGCAGGGCTGGCTGGAAGTTCACCTGCTGGGCTTAGGGCTGGGCTTAACTGTGGGTTGGTGGTTATCTGTGCTTCCATGTCTCTGCCCCGTGTTATGGATCCCCTTATAATGGATGGAGAGACAATTCCTAAGGGTGTTTTTCCTGCTGGCCACACAGGGACCCTGGCTATCTGAACTAGATGTCCAGCTTTGCCCATGGCTCCAGGGCAATGAGTCCCCTCTTCCAGGAACAGCTCTGTGTTGCACGTGGGGCCAGCACGGTTGGTAGAGGATTTTGCAGGCTCCAAGTGTTTGGGGAATGTGAGCTGGGGACTGCATTAAGAGCAGTGACTGCTGGTGGAGTGGTTGTTGTATCCCATCTTTCCCACTGTCTTGGCTTCCTATCTATGTTGCTCCTCTGAATTTCAGTTTGCTCCTCAGTTGGCATGCTAGCACATGCCAAAGAGAAGGGAAAGAAGTGACCTTAGAAGCTGGTTTGGTTCAGGAAAATGTGACAGAAAGGAAAAACAAGGTAGGCACCTGGTGCCTTAATCTCAAGAGTAAAACATCTGTTTTGTTCCTGGCTTGGCTTGTTTGAAGGAGTGGCTCAGCTGAGCTTAGCTTACTGTCTGGGTACTCCAGCCAGCCCAGTTTTTTCCAGGCTGAGTATTTCCAGCTCCTCTTTCCTTTTACAAGTGTAAGTGAAACACAGAGGTGGCTTCACTTCTGCTCAAGCTGTGCATTTTTTTTTTTTTGGCTTTTACTATTCCTTCTTACCCAGCATCATTTCCAAGCTGCAGAGAGACCTTTTACATCAGAGAAGAGGGAACAGGTGTCCACTACCCCGCGGTGTGAGAACATCTGCTAGGACAGGTGCATCCCACCAGATGCGTGCAGATGAGAGCCAGGCACCTCCTCAGCTGGGGTCTGTGTGTGGGAATGTCCTGGATACTTCTGGAAGGCCACAGCACTCACACCACAGGCTCTGCAGCATCTCTGGGGATAAGGAGGGCTCTGAGGAATGGCAAAAAGGCACCCGAGTCCATGACTGATCCCGTGCTTCAATTCTGGATGTCATTTCCCCATCTGAAAAAGAGTCATGAAACCTTTCCATGTGTGTGCACTGGGACCCTCCATGATGCCCTTTATGGGGACCATCATGGTGTAGGGACAGGCTCTGCTGTAGATCCAGAACAAAGAGCTGCCAAGGGCTGGGACCTTTTAGCTGCACTGCACCCACCTACAGCAGTTGTTGTGCTCTGGAACAACCTTCACAAGTAATTTTAAAGAGTTGTTGCCAATCAGATGTAGACCAGGCATTGTTTTCTCTCTCCTCTGACACCAAGTTACTCTTTCTGTCCTTGCTGGAAGCAGAGCCCACCTGAGCTCTGCAGGGCAACAGCCTTGATCTCACTGCATTTAACCAGCAAGCTGGGAAGTTACAGGATAATTAAAGCTTTGCAGGACTAGGGAGTTACTCATCAAATTCACACACAAAGGTAATTTCAGCAGCACCCCAGGAGTTGCAGAAAGATGGTGAAAGAAAGGGGAAGTGAATGGCATCTCATTGAATGCTATAGAAACATGCATCAGCCTTCCTACAGCTGCCATATGTTCCTTCCCTCGCTGCTCACTTCTCACAGGCCCCTCTTGACTTTGCTGGAAGTATTTTTGGTATAATGTCTGCTTTTTGCTAGTGTGTTTACCTCACTGAGGCATTTATGAGCTACATAATGTACAAGCTGCATAGTCTTCCTACCAGAATTTTTTTTTTTTAACCAAGAGTTGAAATCCTCTAGTTTTGAAGGGTGAGATCAGATGTAAAGTGAATCTCTTAGGGCACTGGAAGAAAGCTGTGATAAATGGAGCTGTGCAGATGTAAATTTGGGGACCTTAGTGGGGCAAAGCCCCTCTCTCAAGGCACCCGCTCAGGGTGCAGGCAAGAAGCACAGTTTTGGTCTTCTTTAGCCATGCTCCACCTGTGGGTTATTGCCCTGGGTTGTGTTTTGAGGATGAATCCCTACTGTCAGAGCTGCATCCCCATCTTTAGTACCTCCATGATAAAATATGGCATTACCTCCGTGCAGTCATGAAGAAATAGAATCACAGAATGGTTTGAGTTGGAAGGGACCTTAAAGATCATCCAGTTCCAAGCCCCTGCCATGGGCAGGGACACCTTCCACTAGACCAGGTTGCTCAGAGGCCCATCCAACCTGGCCTCGAATACTTCCAGGGAATGCACGAACTCAACCCTTTGAGCTTTGATTTCCACCAGTTTTCTCTCGCAGTATCATTTATGAGGTGACGGGGATGTGGCTGTTTGGGAGGCTTTTCTGCAAAGTCTGGATCTCCTTTGATGTCATGTTCTGCACGGCATCCATTGTCACACTGTGCTTTATCAGCCTGGACAGATACTGCTCCGTGGTGACCCCCTACCACTACTCCAGAAGGATGTCCCGTGGCAGGTGAGTGGAGTTGCTTCTCACTTTGGGTTCCTCCAAATCATCACTTGGGCATGGCCTGCATTGAATTTGGACCAAATGAGCTACTAACAGCTGCTGCCCAGAAGCAGTGTGTTGTGACAAAAGGGTCTTTGCACTGTTTAAAACTCTGCTGAAAATGTCCCACGTGGTGCCGGAGAAGAGGAGGATGCAGCTGAGCTGGTTTGATGGTGCTCCTGGAAAAGCAGTTTTTGAGCTAAGGATGGGTTGCAAAATGGGTAAAACCAGTGATATAGGCTAATTGGACCTACCACTTTTGCCCTTTGCAGGCATTCCATTGGCATTTCATAGAATCATAGAATGGTTTGGGCTGGAAGAGACCTTAAAGATTATCCAGCTCCAACCTCCCTGCCATGGGCAGGGGCACCTTCAACTAGACCAGGCTGCTCAAAGCCCCATCCAGCCTGGCCTTGAACACTGCCATGGATGGGGAAGGACTTTGAAGCACTTCGAAGGACTAGGGGAAAGAGACCCAGAAGAATGCATGTAGCACTTCTCTTCCCTCTCTTAAGCTCATCATGTTTTCTGAAGTGATATTCAGGGAAAACCACAAGAGTGTATAAGCTCCTGGGTTGGTTTCATGTGAAAGGTTGAAATGAGAACTGAAGGGTAGGGAAAGTCATCTGAGGGTGGGCAGAGAGGACACTGCAGCAGTGGGATGCTCTACAGGGGGAGTTCAGGCTCTTTTGGGCATGTTTTTCTGCCTCTGTACCCCTTGCTTTGTATGATATGCTGAGTGTGTGCAGTTGCAAAAGTGAGGAAGGGGCTGTGTGGCCACCTGTGTGCAGGTTCAGCTCCACCCCCATCATGCCTCAGAGGGTGAGAAAATGGCCAGATATTAAAGCTGAAACCAAACTGAAAAATCCACATGCTGTTGTTTTAAATAGTAACAAACATCCTCTGTAAAACCTTTCCTCCTCTTTTTTCAACCGGCTCTGAGCATTCCTTTTGCCGCCCCCAATTCTGTTAACCAGCGACCAATTACCCAGTTGTTAGAGATATTCACGTCTGGACTTGTTGTACCCCAGCTTTTTCCCTTCTCCAAGCCCTGCTGGACTGCTGAGCAGTGATATCCCACACAGGTTACCATGGGGATTGAATCGTACTGGATGTTCTCAAATCAAAATTACTCAGACCCTCTCTCCCCTCCCCGTTTCTTTCCTTTCGCAGATGCATTGTGATGACCTGCATGGTCTGGGTGTATTCCTCCCTCATTTCCTTCCTCCCTGTCATGCAAGGCTGGAACGAGATCCCCGGGGTGGACTTTGATGCGGGCAGGGAATGCATCTTTGTCACCAACTGGATTTTTGCCATCGTGGCTTCTGCCCTGGCGTTTTTCGTTCCCTTCATGGTGATGTGCAGCATGTATTTCTTCATCTACCGAGCTTCGCGGCTCAAGGCCACCCGTATCATGTCCCAGACCCTGGAGATTCACTACCACCCCAACAGCAAGCGGCAGAACCACCTGCAGCTGGAGAACAAGGCCACGAGGACCATCAGCATCATCATCTCAGTCTTCGTGCTCTGCTGGCTGCCCTACTTCGTCCTGAACGTCTGGCTCGCTGCCAGGGGCACTGACTCCACCAGCACGGTCCTGGTCGACACCTTCAAGATCATCACCTGGCTGGGATACTGCAACTCCACCATCAACCCAATGCTCTACGCCTTCCTGAACAGGGACTTCCAGCGGGCCCTGAAGAAGCTGTTCATTTGCAGGCACAGGTCTCAGGTGGACATTGGAGAAGACATGGTTTCCATCGCCACCTTCTCCAAGACCGCTCCAGATCTGGAATACAGCACAGCGGTGCCGGTGCCCAACGGTGCCCTGAAGGGCAAACCCAAGTCATAGGGATGCAGGGTCAGTCGCTGGAGGTGGTGATACAGAAAGTGCCAGAGCACATCCTAATGGAAAAACAATGGGTAGCAAAATAAGGGAAGGAGGGGCTGGAATACTGCAGCTGTGGACATACAACAAAGATGCATTTCTTAACCTTCCACAGTTATAAGAATGAGGAACTTTGATATTTTCAGGACAATTTGTGATACTAATAGAGTTAATTCCTTCCTGGGTATTTTTTTTTTTCAATGAGCATTTCCCAAGACAAATTCAACCATAATGTTGGGGAAAAAATATCAGTATGATAATGTGAACTCATCTTCGTGTGCATCCTGGTGATCTGTGTCAGGTGGGACAGTGTTTCTTATCAAGCCACCGTAGCTCTCATTTCACAACTTCATTACAGACCTGACCAGTTTCAGTAACTCCACCTGTATCAGTCTGGGTGTGGGAACTAGGAGGGATGTGGCCAAAGAGCAGAGCTCGCTTGTTACCGAGGCACCAGTCCACAGCCTGGGCTGTTGCTCAAGGTTCAGCTCTGTTGCTTCTGAGATATTGAGAGGTTTAGAGCTTTCTGAGGTGCTCTGTGAATTATCTGTGAGCTAATTCTGGAAGGGAACATCTTATGTGGCAGAGCCCAGGACATGAGCAAGACTTGCTGTAATGCCAAGAGCACTGAGTGGCCAGGAGTTTCAAAGGGGGGCTACAGGTGGCTGATACCACCCAAAGAAAGGACGTGAAGAGGAATCATTACTCGTGTGTTTTGCACTGTGATGTCTATGGACCACACAGACATAAAAAAAAATCATGATAAACGGGAACCACAATTTTTACTACTTCCAAGTGCTTGTCTGGACTTCCAACAGCTTTTCTGTAGCAGGGTGACACGAGGGCTGGTGACCCCTGAGACAACAGCCATCGCTTCCCCAGCACAGCTGTGGTGGGGTCTCACACTGGTTTATGTGGGAGGGTTGCTGCACTCAGAGCCTGCTCTTAGACTGATCTTCTGTGGGCATGAAACACTTCAAAGATGGTTTCTGAAATACCTCCTTCTGAGTGTCAATCACTTCCTTGGGACAGGCAAGGCTTCTGCAGCCTGGGAAGCAGAGCAAGCACAGCAGAAAGATGTCCAGGCTAACATTTAATGCTAAAACTACCAGACTGAGGCACTGAGAGGGGTGAAGAACTTAATTTTGCTGAAAAATTAAAAAAAGGGGAGGATAATATAAGTTCTGAGTCCTGCTCTTCCACCTCAAAGGTAGCTGAGGACTGTCCTCAGAGGTGTAGCAAAATGCAAGTATGTCCTGCCTGGAGCAGCTCAGCTACTGAAAACACAGGTACAAGGGTCAGGAGTTCTCTCTGAAGAGTATGGTAGAAAAAACAGCCCTGACCTGGGGTTGCAACACTGGTTCTCCTGTCAAATGGCTCTTCATGGAGTGGGTTAGGTCTCCCAGATCCTATGACTACAGTAACAACATGGAAGTGGTAAGTAGAGTAACTACACCTTATTCTGGGGGCAGCATCTAAGTCCAGTGGGCACAAGGGTGGACAGGGCAGGATTCTTGCTGCTGCCACCCTGTTTATTTTGATAAAACAGGACAAGGAATTATGTTCCAGCCCAGAGAGCTTTGGGGGGGAAGGCAGCTGAGGGACAGGTAATATCCTCTGTAAGAAGGGGATTGGGACAGTGCATCACAGCCCCAGTCAAAGCCCCTCCTGCAGGGCTGTAGGCTTCCAGCTATCCCAGTTCAGGTGTCCTTCCATAAAAACAGCTGGCAGGAAGGAATGCACCGTTCACAGGAGAACCTCTCTGATCAGGGAAAAGGCTTTCTCAGTCAAACGCTGGGGCAAAGAGGTGCAAAGACAGGGACAACACACTCCAGCAAAGACTGACCCAGGCAGTGAGGGGCTGAGCGTGGCCAGATGCTTTTGTGGGCATGGGCCACACAGGGGAGGGTTTGTACACACCTTTGAGGGTAAGTGTAACATCCCAGAATATGCAGACACACCTAGTGTGAACACATATACCAGTGTTGGTACTGAAATGCTGCAGGGCCCTTGGAATAGGCAGCTGCCTACATCAAGTTAAAAATACCTTATTCCTCATTCCTGTGCTCCCATCTGTAATCACTGAGCTGGCAGGGAAGCCAGAGAAGTTTCAGCTGTGGCCATTCCACGGTGCTGTTGTAGCTGATGCAAACTGGGAAATCCAAGGAAAGAGGACACACTTAACTGTCTTCTGCTTTAACCCCAGCTAAAAGCAATTAAATTCTGTTTCTGACCAAATCTTCTCTGCGGCCTTCTGGCTTCACCTGGACAAGCCAGTATCTAAGACAGTTATCCAAGAGCACAGGGGAGACCATCTTTGTAATTCACCTCAGTCTTATCACAAAGCTGCAGAGAGTCAGCAGAGTGTCAGCTGGTTTAATTGCTGGTCGCAGTGTCACACCACAGCGCAGTGATCCCCAGAAGGATTTGCATCCAACACCTTTTTAGGAAACTGATTTCAGAGGCTACAACTTTAACAAATTTAACTCTGTGAAATGTAAAAATGCATTTCTAGAAGAGCAATTCTAACGGCATAAGAATTATCCCTTCTTCTTCCTTCTCTGTTAACAGGTGAGAGATTGCCTCCTCAATCCACTCAGTTTAGAGCCCAATTCCCTTCTTTCTCCAGATCATATCTCACTGCCAAGCAGCACGTTCGGTTTTGCGTCATCACACACGCTGGGGCCAGTGTGAGACAGGAAAGCAAAGGAAGTTACAGGAATGCAGAGCCCATCCTGTTCCCACTGCACAGGGCTGCCACCTGCAGCATGCACAGATCTGGGCTTCCCACAGAAGGAACCACTATTTTGTCTTATAAATAAAAAAAGTTTATTAAATCATTTAGACTTGAAAGAAGTCACAATAATCAATGCACTCAACAATTACAGCAAGTGCATCCTGTACACCACCAACCCAAATGGATTGATTCTGTATTTTATAAATAAAAATTAACATATGTACAGTGAGAAATAAAAGCATGGCATTAGGCAGTTAAATTAGCAGATTACAGAAATGCCTACAGGTTGATTTTTTTTTTAAAAGTACAAATCTACAAGATTACATACGACACGTATGACTTCATTAGCTTTAAATTTTCAGAATCACAACATTTTCGTACATAATTTTGACTATGGCTCTTCCAACCACCGCCTATAAAACCCCCCATTTAATGGCAAAAAGCTCCTTTTCCTTCTCTACAGCTTCATCTGTATAAGATGCATTCCCTAAGATCTACAGTAGTGCAGAAGTACGAAATGATTTCCTCTAATGACTGGCTATGGACAGTGACAATATGTACAACTGTGGTACTTTTTTGCTTTAAAAATAGTGCAGATTCCCCGTTTACACACCAGGGACAAAAATGGAGTCATAGTTCATTTCAAAATCATCTTCATTTCACCAAAGAGCAAGTGATCCGGATAGATACTCACTAGGCTTAGAGACTGTAATTTGCTCTATAAAAATACAGTATTTTAATTCTATTTACACGTTACAGATCTCTCACTTACCCAGCAAGCTGACATTTACAAGCTTCAAAAAACCCCAAGAAACCCAAAAAAACTGACAATGGAGCACAACATTGGTAAGCACAGTAGCTGGACCCGTCCGCCTCGGAAAGTTAAGGTAAGGAAAATGGAATGTGGAAAAGTGTGGTTACTGGTTTTCCTTGGCTGTCAAAGTAAAGGAAAATCTGTCCAACATGTCTTATACACTAAACATGGCAAAAAAAAGCTTAGGTAAACTGTTTCCAAGATAAACATTCTGCATCATAGGATCCTTCTGCTGAACAATCCCTGTAAAACCTGCCGAGTGGAAGAAGTGATCCTGAGGATAGTTATTTGCTTGGTTGTCTGGAATGTTTATTTCCTGATAGACTCATTGTCCGTGACCTCTGCCTAAGCACTGGTTTGGGTGGGAGCTCCAAGTCTTCAAAGACAGGATTTTCTATGATTGCTGCAGCCTCTGGTCTTTCAGTGGGACTTGGAGAGAGCATGTCCTTCACCATGGTGTACTGAAAGAAAACACGACACGTTTTACATGAACCAGTTCATAAAGTCTTTCTTCTTTAACGTTCTGACTTCAGCTGTGGCTGTGTGAACAAGCATAAAATCCCCCCCCTGTTCTTTCTGAGTAATTTGGGTGTTAGTGCTTTGCCTCAGCAGCTAGAAGTGTATTAAATATTTTAAAATGTATCAGTGTGCATCTGTTAAACTGGCTTCACTGTCAAGGACCACAAACAATTTGGCAAACCAAATCTGATCCAAGATTTAAGAGTTATAAAACCTTTACATTATTTGCAATCAAAAAAAAAATATTAAATATGTGAAATATAATTTACAAGTGATTTTTAGCTTCACGTTTAAGCCACCATGTTTTAAGTCACGCAGTAATTCACAGTTTCACAGCAAATCAGAGGTTTTTCCTTTAAATATAAAGGTAATTTGAATATTTACTTCAAATTTAATCAGAATTAGTGTCCTGCTGCAGCTGAGCACAGCACATCACCTTCCCCCAGGCAGCCTACAGCTGTAAAGCAGGAAAGGCTGGTCTCATTTAGCTGCTGGACTGAAGCTACCATGAACACCTGAAAGCACCTCAGCTTTTTACTGGAGCGGTTTTGTGCATCACCTCCTCTTTATCTGCAACCACATCACTTTACAGACCTGACTAATAAGAACACAGCACAATTTGCTCGTGTGTTTTCCCACTTGGGAGATCCAGTTCCTGGAGGGAGATCCCATCCAGTCATGGATGTGCTACCTACAGTCTCCCCTCTGTCTGTCTGGAACTCTGCACTTTCTCCTTGGGAATATGGATTTATTGCAAGAAATCATATCATGAAGTATGTGAAATGAATGACTGCACATTACAAAGGGAGGTCAGGTGATATTGTACAGTTATTGGAGGTAAACTTTGTGGCAAAAGTATCATCATCCACATTACTGGAATGTCATAGCTTTGAAATGTAAAGCACAGGGATAGAGAAATGCATCTTAATAACACTAAAATGGTATCTAAGGTATCATTGATAGCATCAGATGTACTTACCTCTTGTGCATATTTCTGAGTGAACAACGGTGGAAACTTCAAATTTCTAACATCACTTAAGGTCTGCAAAAATAGGAAGAACAACATATAACTTTTCCAAAATAGCATTCTTCAGTAATATTACTCTATTCTTCAAAAATATGCAAACTATGCAAACAAATCACCCTCATGGAAAAAAATTTCTTTTAAAAAAGTCTTGCTTTAGTGATTAAAAAAATCACAAAATACTTGAACAGACAAGTTGCTGCTTCTCCATGTATACAGACTGCAACAAAAATTACAAGAATTGTGATCTCTGCAGTTTTAAATCAGTCAGATACACAAACTTGTACTTTCTCACTTCAGCTCAACAAAGTCAGCAGATCTGTGTACCACCCATAACCCCCAAGATGGTCTACACCAGTATTAAGACATGTGAAATTACTGTCTCTGTCTTAGTAACACAAGCACCAGTCTTTATTTAACATTTATGGAGGAACGAGCAGATTTATCAGCAGTTGTGATGGGTATTTCTGTGTTTCTTCCATACCAAGGCCACTGGCTCCATCTAGTGACAGTACTTTTACCGTGTTCAGCCAGAAGCACAATATTCAGCCCTTCATTTCTTTTAGGAATGATCTCCTTTTTCAAATGTTTGAGCACAAAATATAAAAATTCCAAAGTTAAACTGAAATTCAATTCACTGTTACTCTGCTGAAAGTATAAACTGACCAGTTAATAGTGATGGGCAACAGTCACACTCCTGCTCAAGAGAACTGAGTTTTATGACATTAAAATGCTTCAAAATACTTTTCTCCTTCTCTGCCAATTCAGTCTGCAACTAGTGACCTATTTCAAAACATCTAATTTGGATATAAATTGCACTGCCACAGACCAACTGCTAACAGCTTGAGACAGAGGCAGGTCTCATGCTCCACCTCTGGGGATTTTTCCAGCCAGTTGTCACGGATTCCTAGAATTTGCTGGGTTACTTGGTCAGGCAGAGCATGTTTTGCTTCAGCAGGCAATGCTAATGCTTGGCTGATGCCAATGAAAACCTCAGCGTAACAACTCAGAAAAAAACTGAAGTAGCCAAATTTCAGAACTTGGCAATGAAGGGGCTTGGAGGTTCCTTCTGGATTTTAGCAAAAGGAGCAGGATGATAGTGAAAATCATGGGAGGTCAGGGCACTCTTTTAACCCTTTTTTGAAGTAAAACATCGGAATTAGATGCAATTTAAATTTGATTCTAATTACTTGCTAACTGGAACGGCAAAGCTTGTAGTCTCTGCTGTGAGAGAGAGAATCCAGGATGGCTCTTTATTGGGAATCTTTTTTTACTAAAACTGATTTAGGGAAATTGAAATTGGTTTCAGTGCAAGAGGTTAAAATTAAACACTAGTTCCTCCCCTAGACTATGCTCCTTTGTGCCATAAAAAGCTGGAGCATTTTAAGCAAAAGACTGCAATGGGTGAAGCACTTGGTCAGGCTGTTGTTGTTTCTTACCTCTCTGCTAAACCCACTCCATCCCCACATGAGAATGTAACCCCTCCCAAGCACATATAAATGATAAATACGAATTATAATGACTCTTTCTCTCCTGCACAGGTCACTGGTCACCATGCACAAGAGGAAAAGCCTTTCTGGCTGTTGCCCTTGTTCTCTATGAACTTGCTCCTGAGCAAGATGGACCTCATTGTAACAGGAAGCAAGAGCTGTAACGAACCACCAAACATCCCAAATCCACATTTGATGCAATGAAGGTCATCAGTTATGGGAAGATTGGGCCTGAAGCTGAGTGAGACTCACAGCTAAGACTCACTACAGGAAAAGGAACAGCAATTTTTCACAAAGTGCTTTGGGTGAAAAAGCAGTGCAGATACAAACAAAGGAAGAAATAATAAAAATGCACCGCATGGTTCCAGTTCTTGAATGAAAACCAAGCTGGTAGGCTTAAGGTCACAAGCTATATTTGTTGCTTGAGTTCTTGGATATCCTAGTTCAATAGTTTCTCTTACTTGGCTTGACAACAGAGGAGCTTTGTAAAGAAATTAAAGCCTCCATTCAACTGCACACATTCGGAAGACTGCAATTTATTTTCCGTGATTCAGGGGGTCTGTACAAGGCTGATAAAGAAGTTGTGCTGCTAATTGCAAGGCTTTCTCAAAACTGACAGGAACCTCTTGCCAGTGTTTCACCCAGTCAATAGCTACTTTAAACAAATGCTCCGAGGATAACCCAAACACATAAATACCTTGACCCTCTCCATCTGTGTGCTGAAAGGGTAAAGCAGCTCAAAGAGAATCAGTCCCAGAGAAAAGATATCCACTTTGTGCGAGTAGGTGTTCCCACAGATCTGAAAAGGCAAAATCAGGGTTAGGGCAATCAAGCTACTCACTGCATGTCATTATGTACCAGGTAAACAGCACCCTTTCAAGGCCACCTATGGAAGTGGTCAGCCCTGTGCAGGGCTGAAAGCTACAGCACAGGCACGTTGGCAAACTTCAGCAGTGAGCATCAGGGACCAAGATCCTGGTCTGATCCTCAGCTCCTCTCTGCACACCCAACTGCAAAGCAACATGTTTCACCTTACTTAAACCCCATGTAGGAGGAGTGTGTCCTCCTGCAATTAACTGGAATGTTACACAGTTACCCTTGTACGGCATTCAAAGCAAGAAAAATGATTACATCAAGTTTGAATCATTAGCCACTTTTTTTGCTATAATAAATATTATATTAAAATACTGGTTTTGGAATTCAATTTATCTTAAAACTCTACTTTGATGAGGAAGAATTTAAGTGGCTTGACTGCAACAATTTACTAGGAGTGCCTGATCTTTGAGCTCCCAGGAACTCAGGGCTCTTCCAGGCATTGCCAAATACAGCTTTAAAGCAGAGAGCACAAACCTGTTCCGGGCTCATGTAGAGTTTGGTCCCTACTTGTCCTGTGTGCCTGGCATAGGCTGGCATTGGGGTCAGTACTGATTCCTCCTCCTCATCTTGGTCCATAGCAGTTACCAGTCCAAAATCCCCAACCTTTACTATGTCATCCATTGTGAAAAATATATTGGAAGGCTGAGAAAACAAAGAAGTGAAAAGAAAAAATGAGCACTAAAGAAGTGTCCGTGTTTCAACCATTACAACACTTGGTTCCAATTCAGAAGCCATGCTGTCAGGGCTAAAACGACTCATTAAACTGCTGAAGTGTAACAGCTAAGAATTGTAGCTACTGAGGAAACACAAATTACTCCTGCAATTAAACACTGTCCCTTCCTGAAACTCAAAATGCTCATTTCTTGCCATTCAGCAGAGGTTTACCAGCACCACACAGGTCTGCTGAGGAACATACACAAGAGTCAACAGCTGCTGGGAACAGCAGAGATAAGTTATCCAGCTCCCCATCACATGGCACATTCACACCAGATGCTGCAGTTCTGACTCCTGGTCTTTCTTATTCTAATCTCGAAGTGCTAAACTCGTTTGCTTTATTATTAACCAGCGCACAGCATGTCATCCTAACATTAAATTATAGATAATGGAAGCCTGGGAACAAGGTCTGCTTTTCAGCTGCAGCGTAAATGTGCAGTTTGACTGGGGAGAAGCTGTCAGCATTACAGAATTGAAAGTTTATTTTTGATAGAAGCTTAAGGACTTTGCAATTCACAAGAGCAGCAACAGTGATGATCTGGCTTCGACTTTCCTTTAGCTTGTTTGCTACGTACCACCATCCTTGGCTTAACCTGATAAGAGACTGGAAACTGAGATGTCCCTTTGCTAATGGTCCATTAAATGGACCATTTAAAAACCAGATGGTTTTTCAAAAGATTTGCATCCTGGCTGATAGAACAGCACCCACCAAATGAATGATTATTTCTTTGAAATAAAACCACTCTGCCTCTGTTACAAATACAGATGAACACACAGTTTTGAGGAAAGAAGAGACTGATCCTGCAAGCGGGAGGAAACAGCAGGATAAGGTACAGGGAAAGGGCCAAGGTGTGGTAAAGAGGCAGGTGGTGCTGGGTAAGGTCCTCTCAGAGCTCCTGGACCCTCCTGGGAGAACACGGTCTGTGTTTTGCTGACACAAATGCTGGAACAGGAGGAGGCAGACAGAGAGAGGGCAATATTTTTCCACAAGATTAAGGGACTACAAAACTGACCTATTTCAAAGCCCATCCAACTTCTTCAGTTAAAAGACAAACCCACTGTGTGCAAGAGAGAAATGAGATGGAAAAAAAGGTTTCTTGGCTTTTTTTTTTTAAGCAACGGACAGCTCTGAGATAAGCACTGCAGAAACAGCTCCCCAGTGCCCACATCCTGCCTCTGAAACTGCCTTCTGAGCCAGGTCTTATCTCCCCTATATTTCCCTGTAATGAATGTCAAACCCTTCAGAGTCACAGCACACTTGAGGCACAAAAGCTACTACCCTGTAAGCCCACAGGACCCCCAGGCTCTTGCTGAAGCATTTGCACAGCACCCACCCTCCGACTGCACAGCCATGCTGGCAAACACCTTTGCATCAGAATTTTAATGCTCAAGGATCAAACGTCTCCATTAGGGGTTTGTATCCCACTGCCTTGATCCCCATTCTCCTCCAACAAACACAGAAGAGTTCAACAAGATCTGTCTTGCTTCATGGAGGAAAAACTCTTCTTAAGAGGAAGTTTTATTTTTATACTTCTCTGGCTGGACACAGACTGTCTCTGAATAGGTTGGCGTATAGTTTCTACAATTTAAGGAGAAGGGACTCTCTGCTGTTGCAAAGTACCAGCAAAAATAAACCCTCAAGGTCTCATTTGGAAAGATGAAGTCTAAGGCAGATGCACACAATTTTGATTTAAATCATCAGAAGACTGCATCAAATATAACCACCCTCTAGTTTAGTTATCTTGCCACTTGCACAAAGAAATTTCTCTCCATATTCTTCAGTCAGAGCAAGAACTCTCATCTTTTCACAGACATGAATAAGCTTCTCACACATCTGGAAGACTCTGTTTAATTTAATTAATGCTGTAAAATGTATCCAAGACTGTTCTTGCAGTTCTATGAAAGTGATAATTTCTTTTGAGCTGCCAAGCATGACCGACAGCTTATCCTGGGAACAACATTAAATTCACTTGACAGACGGACTTTTGTTTCTGTAATCCATTTTCTTCAAAAGAATTTGAACTGTGACCTACTCACTTGCCTACCTAAATTCCTGCCAGTATCTCTGATTAGCAGGAGCCTAGCTAATGCATCCTAATGTGCACTGTTAATTTAAATACTTAAAATGTCTTCTTGGATCTTTTAACATTCATACATACAAATTTATTTACACACAGATCTACCAGTTCTTGTTGGTGCCAATGGGAGCAAGAACTGGCCTCTGCTACCACTTAGCTCTGCCTGTAGCAAGGCCAAAGCAGCTTTGCAGATTATTCACTTGTTAGTGCTGGCATGAACTCAGGGTTGCATGACCAATCTCTTGGACAAATTACAAAATTAGGTGAGATCTGTTCCAAGGAACTTCTGAAAAGTACAGAAAATAATTAAATATACTGCATGTTTTTTTGGGCAAATTAACACATAACAGACAAACTCTGGGATCCAAGAATAACATCTGTACAAGCACAGAAAGTTTCCTGAAGGAGGAAGCTGTTCATTCAGGGAGAGCGTTTCTAAGTTGGTTATACCAAGTAAACAAAATTAAATCTCTTGTTCAAATTGCTGCCAGCATTGAACTTTTAAGATGTTCCAACAAAACCCTCCAAACCTAGTGATTAAGACTAATAGAGTTTTAAGTGAAGCTCTACATAAAGTTTACTGAACAGCAATCTCAGTGAAGGGAGCTACAACTGACAGTATTGTTAAGAAAGATTATTAATTAACATGTCTAGCAACATATTAGTACAGGGATTTAATTACTTTTATGGTCAGTTTCTCAAGCACTAAAGATTGTTCAGATAACTTGTTCAAGGTAATTGCCTAATGCTGATGGGAAAAGAAAATACCTGGATGGGTTAATGAGTTTTTCTAACTATGACATATCCTTTCAGTATTACTGAATTTGAATCCCCTTTTACTGCCACATCTGAGATGGCATTTTTACCTTTTGCTTCTACTGATATCAAATGATTACCATCTGAGAAGCTACAACAGCAGTTACAGCTATTTCAGTGATGACTCCACTAAGGTGGGTATTAATGCCTCCTCAAACAAGCAAAGAGAAACAGGAACTGCCTCTCCACTTTAGCAAAAGGGATCCATTTCTCAGAGCTTGTGCTAATAAAATTAACTTAAGCTGGGCTCTTCAATTAAATTCTGGTATTTGGTAACACATGCAGTACTTTAAATTTCAGCAAAATTAGGCACTAGCATAGGAGAATGAAAGAAAAGGTGCAACAAGTTACTCCTGACTTCAGTTATATTAAATATCAGAGGTTAAAATCACTTTTCCCAGTCCTAACTGTCTGGATGCTATCAGGCATTAAAAATATTACGAATCCTGTAGAAAGCTGCGTTGTGATAGTCAGCATTGACTCAGAATTCAACTCTAGGACAGTTTACATTTCAATCCCAGAGTAGTAATAATCAAATTTTACTTTCTCTAACCAAGAGTAGCACCCTCCTCTTAGGCTGTATTGCTATAGAAAGAAGGAAAATAGAATCACAGAATCATAGAATTATTTAGGTTGGAAAAGACCTCTAAGATTGAGTCCAACTGCAAACTTAACGTTGCCAATTATCTGCTTCACTTGAAATGGTAGAACAGGATCCAAAATAGCTTTGTTGCACAGTTCAGCACTGAACAACCCTGTCTAAAGAACATGAATTAAAGATGCCATAAAACAAATGCAACTGATCTGTGCCAGGTACAAGAAGTCTTGCTGTAAGAAAGACTTTAATTGCAATAAGCAATGATGAATGTTTATTTCCTGGAGCACTGCACCTCCAGATTACTGTACAGACGTTAACCCAGCTTTTGTAACACCCATGCTGAGGTCACTGATAAGAGTCAGCTATTTTAGCAGGATTTGTCTCCAGTGCCATATTACTCCCACATACAAAACAATTTTACCTCTATCCACACACTCATCATCTGTCAGTTTAAAGCTGAATTTGACCCTGAATTAACCAACCTGGCACTGCTGCTTTAGGATCACTGAAATTTGGAACTGTTGATGCCCAAGTCTGTAATGTAGCAGAGGGACAGTTACTCTGTGATACCATTTGAGTCAGTATTTGAGTCAGTTCCAGGAATTTTACAGCACCAGAGACTTCTGTGAGCTATTTGGGCATAGGTAATTCAAGTTAGGATAGCTCCAAAGATAATCCCACAGTACTAAACCAGAAAACGTTTGCCCACAGGACACAGCCACTGAGATAACCGTTACAAGCACAACGTGCAAAGTTCAGGCGTTCAGTGATGATCATGGTAATAAATAAATAAAATTAAAAATCCAACATACTTTCTACAGTAACCTATGAATACAAACCTTGAGATCCCTGTGCATTAATCCTTTGCTATGCAGAAAGTCAACTGCCTCAGCTATCTGCAGAAATATTTGCAGACACTCTGTCCTTTCCCTCTCCTCTATCTCACACCTTCTGCTCATCCAGTCTTTGAGGTTCTCTTTCCTGCAGAGCTGCATCTGGATGTAAAGATACACCTTTGGAGACGTGGGTTTAACTTTTTCTGCAGTATTTTTAGAAAGGTCCAGGCTTAAACTTGTTGGCCTTGGTGGAGAAACAGAGAGGGGACTTCCTGAAGCAGATTTCTTGTTATCAGATTCCTTTGTACTTTTCCCTTTATCCTCAGAAAGATTCTCATCATGTGAAACATCAACTTTATCTTCCTTACTAGAAGCATTTCCACAGCCAGAATCTTCAAACACAATGGAAGAGGAGGTCCCTTCCTTCAGGTGTACAACAGGAACAGCTGAAGAGCAAATTTCCAGGGAGGAATTTTCCAGCTCATTACTGTTGATAGTACTGCCTTCTACATCACAGCCCATAAGGACACTGTCCTGAAGGTTTAACAGTGGATCTTCTGAGTGCTCTAAGTCCCTGTTGTCTGTCTCGGAAAATTCCAGAGGAGAAAAATGGCTTCCAGATGAATTTGACTGACCACAGGGTATCCCCACAGATCCCACCCCCTCTGATGAAGTGGCAATAATTTCAATGTGTTCCTGCGTCGAAAATGGCTCTGTCCTGATCTTAAATGATGGGACATCCATTGGGCTGGGAGAGCTGAGTGGCCAGTCAGTGCTGGAAAGCAAAATTGAGAGATCAATACTACAGAAATTGTAGCAGGTTCCATCATTCCACTCATTCCACTAGAAATTCATTTTCAGAAGATTTTAACAACTGCTACCTCTGAGACCCATGTCATACCGTAACGGTGAAGGACTATCCAAGTGTGGGAATCACTAACAACCAGGATTTAGCATCTGTTTGCCTTAGCAAGGATAACGTTTTCTCATTGAGACAAAAGTGTTGATAAAGGAAAATTTAGCAGTCTCTGCTGCCTGGACTCCCAATGTGCAATCAGGCTTATCTTCAGCTTGAAAAAATTCAGTCCTTTGGAACACGCACTGCAATGACTATTTAAAGTGCCTGGGAGGAATTACAGCTGTGAAATGTTAATTTGATGCCTGAAATATAAAGGTCGCTGTATTCTAAAAATTGTGAGGTATGTTAAGATGTTATTATGAGACCACTCAATAGTCTTGCACTAGGCCTCATTCTTTAAATGCCAACATACACCCACTTTTTCCTTTCTCTTTACACTCTCTAAACTCCTATATCTAATTTACAATTTTTAACCTACTTCTACCGAGCTTTACAAATCGTCACTCTGATTATCCCTCGCATATTTCTGCTAAAATAAATTCACTGAAGCCTTGGAGTACTGAATCAGATCCATCTAAACCAAGATAGCAAAGAGGAGGAAAGCAATAGAAATCCAGTCACCCAAAGACTCAATTACACAAGTTAAATTAAGAACTACATGATGTTTCCTAAGCTGAAAGAAGGACCCTGACACAACAGAGGATCAAGAAATAGAGAGACTCTATGCAGAAGGGTAATATATTTGTACCTTGTTCAACTGAACAGTTAACAGGCCAAGTTAATAACTCTTTCCTGCACAGTCTCTCAATTCTCCTGGATCCTCTACCACTTCTCCAGTTCTACTGATGCACAATCTCAAATTTAAACTGTTAGAGAGAAACCCCTATGAGTTACCTTTCATCTTTTAACCACTGTTCATCCATCTTTTCCTGCCATCTCTCAGGTGGAGCTTCCAGCCACGCGTTGAAATACCGGACAATCCCTGGATGTTCGAGTTTAGCCAATGCCTTGACTTCCCTCATCACCTTTTCCCGAGCCAGCTCCCTGCGGTTTGGGGTGAGGGCAACAACGAGAGACATGGTCACAAAAAGCAACAGCACAGCACATAAATTTCTGCAAAGGATTTAATAAAAGCTGCCCCAGTACAAACCAGGCCAGTAGTATTGCTTTTCACATCAAAAGACAAGTATGTTTTAAATTCCCCAGAGTAACTCCTTTAGGTTAGAGTGTGGAGGAGCAGTATGTGCTCACAGTGGCTAAATATTTAGTCATCCCTTTTCACATAATCACAGGCAGCAAAACTGAGAAGAAAAGGTAAAAAAAAATCACTAAACAGCGATATTCTACAGGGATATAGAAGACACTGACACAAAAGATGGACAGCAATACCTTAGGATTTGTTTTTAATTGGAATAATGTAAGGAGACTGCATAAGGACTATCTCTGTCCTGTGGACAGGAAAGCAGGTAGCCTTCTGTCTCACTGAAGTAATTTATCTCTCTTCATAAGTCTAACTGAATCAAATGAAGTCTGATGGTTTTATTTAATGGGTTTGAATATGCTTGGAAACTAAGAATTCAGGCTACCTGAAATTTCTGAACAAAACCTTTTATCTTAAATAGTCACAATTATTTAACACATTCAAAAAAAATAGTAATTCTAGATTTCATAGCTTTACCCCCTCCCTCTTGCTGTTCTAACTTGAGATTTCCAGAAGCAGTGTCTCCCATCTCCCACTAAAAGGAAGTGCTGCAAGCTCTGGGTAGGGTAATTCAGCAGCATGGCTTGACCACCTATGGCTGAGAGAAAAGGTAGGGGTTGTGGGACCAGAAATGAAAAAAATGGACAAACGGAGGCAGAAAAGCTGGTGAGGGAGAGAAAAGAAAGGGAAGGTGGAGTAGGAAAGGTAAGAAGAGGAAGGAGAGAAGCAAATTAACAGTGTGCTACAATAACTGGTCCTGTTAGCAAGGGCTCTATTCATCAAGGAAATCACAGGAGTTCCCATGGAGCCGCAGCATCGTCACAAGGGTCCTGCTATCCAAGTATTTTAGCCAGGCAGGTCACCCCTCTGCTGTGATTACATATGCCAAATTCTTGATGCCAAAACTAAGTCAGCCCCCCCATTAAAAAGTGTGTCATTCATGCCAATGAAATATCTGGGAATTCAGCTCAGGAGCAGATGGTTCAGGGTAGGACAGGATTCCACCATTCATTCATTACTTCTGTGTCTCAACAAACCCATTCATTACCTGTTGGGCAAACGGATCCTTTTGATAGCATAGTTGCAGTCATCCACTTTATTTCTGGCTTCAAAAACCACTCCAAAACCTCCACGACCCAGACACTGAATTGGTTCAAAATCTGTCAGATATCTGTGAGCAGCAGAGTGTGAGGAGGAGACAGAAGAAAAGAGGGAGGTAGAGGAGAAAAATGCATTAGTATAGATAGAAAAATAATTTATGACTTCGACTGAAGTGGTTCTGTAAGAGCAAAACACGCTGAATGACTTGAAGCATTGTTTGTTTTTCCCTGCTCACCCACTGAAGCTGTCAGATGGTTCTCTATTTATGAACTGGGCAGTTGCTGATTGTGCCCTCATTCAGTGTCCATCCCTACCCAGCAGAATCCATTCTGCACGCACTAGACCACCTGAAGAGGTTTTTCAGAATATCAGGTTGCACACTTACTGGATCATGGACCACAAGGATGCAGCCTAAGTTTCTACAGCAAACCAGGTGGTGACAGCTAAGTATTTTCTGAATCATGACTTGCCTTTAGCCCTACCCCAAATAACTATTTCTGCAACTAGTCCTTCTAAATATCCTTTCTAAAACATCACTGTCCTTAAACTTTTCTTATTTTAGCTCACTTGAAATACTCCAGTTCTTGCTTTCCATGCAAATGTACAGGAAATGGTCACATTTGCTCCAGAGTAAGTATCCTGACATGCTCTTATGAAGCATTCTGTCTTAACCAACTCCTTTGTAACAGCAACAAAGGTTTTCTTTCAAGTACAGACTGCTTATTGTGCAGAGTATATAAAACGTCACCTGTTTCCACCTGCAATTGCCTTTCTCTGCCTTAAACCATAAACACAGAAACAGAGGGAGTAAACACTGATAAAGACCTTCAAGAATCAATCTCCCATCTTGCATATCAGCAAGAAATATGACAGCAACCTTCCTGATGACATGTAATCTGTTGACTCTCTGGAATTGCTTACACTCATCATAACTGCAATGTCCTGTCAGTAATGGGGTCACAGAGTTCTTTGTGTTGGTTGCTGATCATCCTACGAAGTCAGAGGACTAGGAGTACTTAGGTAAGAACAAGTGAACACCTACTCTTCTATCTCCAGACAGCATTAGTTGTGACAGTGACAACACCCTGTTCATGTTGTGTTGGACAGAGCTCACCTTGACACGTATCCAGAGTTCTTGACATCACTCCAGCTGTTGTCTTTAACATCTCCACAAGTGGGCTCATATTTGCAATCAGTCTGACACTGTGTTTCAGATTCCTTCCGCAGCTAACCACGGTTTCCAAAACAAGAACAAAACAAACAAACAAACAAAATCAACTTCTTAAGTACCTGAAACTAGTTTGTACCCCAGATACAGCATTAAATAAGTATCTCCCAAGATGTTGAAGCAGTCTAATCTACCTGCTGAAGCCGTTAAGCAAATTGCGGCAGCTGGCAGCCTTCACAGACAGATTAAACAGTAAATTTAGGCTTTTGATTTTTTTAATCTCATTAGTTATTAACTTATTAATATTACTCACTGCAGACTCAAAACTGAAAGAAGCAGCTAAAATAACAACCTCTTAGAATTCAGGAAAAAACCCACTTACTCTGCTGTACGGATGGGGATGGAAAAGTTTGCGTACGATAAAAGTTGTGGCCACGATGCAAAATATGATGGTGCCAACAATTTCCTTCCACCAGTGGAGCAGGAGAACAGGATCTTTTTTGCGAATGTTCTTGTAATTTGTATCATCAAAAAATCGAACAGTGATCTGGTTGCTACGTTTGTTTCTCTCTCTCTTGTAGTAGGGTAAGTAATAACCATTATCTGTGTATGAAAGACACAGGGAGACGAGATTTACTTGCAGGTAACTAAAAAACAATTTTGGCTTCTCATTAATAAGGTTTCTTACACAGACATAGGGTATTTTTGTTTGCATGCCCCATGATTTTAAACAGCACATGAGCAAATTCAGTAAATCAAGGTGGTGGACAGCAACTAGGTCACCCATAAAAGTTCACCTCTTCAGGAGGCCTGACCACCGATAGCTTTAAGCCAGAACATCTTTCATATGGAAAACTTTCCACCACCAGGCTGTGGTGGTAGCACTGTTAGCAAATTCTAAATAACATAATTCTCAAGCTTTTTCCACTTGGACCACCTATCAGTGGCAATGGCAGCACACAGAACAGCTCTGCAGTAGCAATTCCAGGCACTCTGAAGTGCTCTGCATGGCACTCGCTGTACCTACACCACAACCTGGAAATCCTAATTTGGACAATGATTTCCTACTTCATTAAATGTTAAAAAAAAAATACACGTATTTAAGATCAAACAGCTGGTCATTTGTCGAATTTCACAGACAATAAATGGGTAAACCTGGCTATTTGAAACACTTAAAATTTGGAACTTCACCTACCATAAGGATACTGCAGAACTGACAGTGCTCCATTACTGTACTCCTCATGAGAATACTTGTCATTGCTGAGGCACTTATCAAACTCATCGGAGCCCACCAACACTGGAGTCCTGGAAGGAGAATCTAAGCAGAAAAGACACAGTTTTCTGAGCTGAACTGTTCTAAAAATTCTGTTCTCATATTAATTTAATGAGAACTCCAACTGCATAATCTTAGAAAATCCCTCTTGTACCAGATCACGAGAAGCAAATTTCATGCAAGGAAACATTAATAAGGATATTTTAAGGTTACAGTTACTTAACACCTTCCCCCCTTGCTGAAAGAGTAGTTTTGGACAAGTCAATTCACTCATATTCACATCACTGTGAAAAGCTTCTTCCTCTTTTTGTTGAAAAATTCAATTTAGAAGACCCAACACCTCATTATTAAAAAAGACCCTGTCAAATCCATAGTAAAAGAAAGTAGACATTAAACATTTAATTAGAAAAAAATAACCACTTAATAAAGCACAGAAATAGTTCCTGAACTGCTTTACAGCTGGAAATATCAGACTAGTTTGGAACATACTGGAAATCAGAAAGATGTCCTGTTTTTTTTCCAGGCTAAGACAATAAATGAAACTCTGAATTGCTACTTACGGATTAAAGGTTTCCACTTGATTTTGGGAAGAGGAATAATTGCATTATCTTTCTTGGATTCCAGAGCCTTTGGGTTGGTTGGGAATTTCTCAGAAAGTCTGACTGATGACTGAAGATACAACTGGCCCCTGAACATACCTAAGTAATAAATCAGAGAGCATATTAGTCTTTAGATTTAGTTCTCTTCGCCCTCATAATAAAATTGCCCAGTAAAATGTGGTTAAAACCATTTTTGAAAATATTTCTTTATATTCTGAGAACCAGAGATACCGACTCTGATTGCTAGGCTAGATGAATTCGAGTAATATGTTTCCCCTGTTCTAGAAAATCAAGAGGTCAGGACACCTCATTTTTACTGCTGGAGAGCTGGTGGTACAGGAAAATACCAGAAATTTTTAAGAGCTATAAAGCAGCTTGGGCTTTTAAAACCCCTCTCAAACTTCCTACCCTTGTTAATGCTGTAGAGATTATTCCTCAACAGCCACTACCAGGGAGGCTGGAACTATCTGGCTTCTTCTTTATCTGTTATTCTAACCACTAACAGGAAAGCTACAAGGTATAAAGATGTGGAGAAAAAGGCAAAGGCAAACCAAGTCTTAGAAAACCAAAGCACATTTACCTCCCAGAGACAGATAAACAGCTGAGAAGGAGGACCTGGGGCCATTATTTCAAATTGTTACAAGCCACATCCAATGAATTCTGACAGCTGGACAAAAACCTAGTCCTGTAAAATCTTACCTGAATTTTCTTCATGGTAAGTTACTGCAATCAGTGTACAAATTATCAGGCAATAAGACTGCCTTGTTAGCTATAAACCTGTCTTAAAATTTCAAGACTTTTAGTTCTCTCCAATGTACTGAAACTACAAAGCAGTGAACATTTCAGAACTATAATGGAAAAGATTTATAGTTTTGAAATCTATCAGTACAAAAAGATCTTTACTACAACCTCAACAGGGAAATGAATAACATTTACTACAGATAATGCTGCAATTGGTGTCTCACCCAAATATACACTGGATTCTGTGGCCCCTCTGGCAGCTTCCACAAGATCTTCTTCATCTTCCAGTACCTCATTATTTGCAGTGTAACTTGTGTCATCAAACAGACTGATTGGAATTACTTTGCCATCCTTAAGCAGCCATGCAGAAGCAATTGGAGTGCAAAACTGAAGGAGAGAGAGGTAATTGGAAAATTAATGTTGTATTAACGAGCTACTATATAAGAATAATGCTAAACAATGTGCCTAAATTCCTTGTTTTAATTTTTGTAACAGATGCAGCAGCTCAAAGTCAGAACTTTAGTTAAAAAATTACAAGCAGATGTGTGCTCTTTTACAAAGACAGTGCCTGAAACTCAAGATGAAAGACATCTTCAAAACTTCTACTTTTGTGATATTTAATAGTCTGTCTTTTCCCCTACCTGGTATTCCCATTCCAGATGTCCTCCTCGTTTGTTAAAAGCCATCACTTTCCAGTCAGCCACCGAGACCTTTATCACTGTGTCTTTCATCATAGCTTCCTGCTCCTCCACATCCGAAATGATTTTTGTTTCTTCTTTGTTCATAGTTGATTTAAAATTGCTCTCAATGTATCCTGCTCTGCTTTCAATATCTGGGACATAGCGCAGCTCGAAGTGACCAACACTGAAATTCCACCTTAAAGAAAAAGAGAAATACTTTGTAGAAGCAACTTGTATATTCCAAGGAAGTCCCAAATCCTCTGTCCAGAAGATTCCTAAACTGAATTATCTATATTTGGCCCATATTTTCACAGTAAACTCTTCAGACTGTCAGATGAACAGAACTGTACCAGGAGGGGAGTGCTAATCCAAAGCATAAACCAAACAAACTGAGAAATCTTGCCTAACATGATGGGGGAGCTGAGAAAACAGCTGGTGAAGTAGGGCCAATGCCATTGAAGGCTTAGTATAAGGAGAGGGCAATTAAAATCATCAAATAGTACAGCTGGGTCTGCTTAGTAGGAAAACATTGTGGTGCTGATGGAAGCAACAAGTGCAAAGCTTTTATGAAGCAGCATCCTACACAAGACATATTTCTCTTCACTAAGAGTGGATTTAATTGGAAATGTAAGATTTTTCAAACCGAGGAAGGGACAACGCTTTTTTTGTTTGTTTTAATCCAACATACTACCTAACACAGATCCCTTGGCAGATATTTCATGAAACCAGGACCACTCGTGTCCCATCGGTTAACACTCAAAAAAGACAACTACATAATGAACTGTATAAAGAACACAGTTTTACTGCACAGCAAAAAGCTCTTCAATTCTTGTAAACCAACAAAGATACAGATGGGAAAGGATGCCAAGTTTGTGTCTTGAACTGCACAAAGGGGTAAATATTCTTCAACAGTATGTTTGGATATCCAGAATTTCTTATCAGTCTGGCAACCACCAGGAGCCTAAACTGTCTCCTTAAAGAATTTACACCCTTATGGTAAACGTTTGGCATATTTTACATACATGTTTCTTTCTCTGAATTAAAACCCCAGATCTATCCCATTCATTCCATGTCACCAGGAAAGGCACCTCTGTTTCTAACCACAAAGACAGGAGAATTCTGGTGCACAAGATGCAATACTATGGTTTTTGACACACTTCTCCCTGCTAATTTTAGTCTCCAAGAATAATAGCACTCCAGATTTATCTTCTCAGACATCTGATCTGAACCATAATCTATTGGAGTTCCCATTAGGTGATCCCTGATACACTACAGACGCACAACCTGTCACATCCTGCTGCAAACAGAAGAGGGAGCAGGGGAACAGGGAATGATGAACTATCCACTAAATTGCTGGGGAGTTACTGTATCTACATACAGTAACCAGCCTTCTAAATCTGTATTTTATCAAATGGGGTTTGGTGGGCTTTTTTAGCAGAATATATGTCTGCATCTTTATAAAAATCTTACCGTATTAAAACTTAAATGTGATCTGGAAAACCACAGATTGAACCAGTTTCTACAACTTGTAAAAAACAGACCACTCACATTATGAAATGAATAACACAGATCTAAGAATATTTAAAATATCAACTTAAAATGAAAGCTAAAGACATCAAGTATAAAAAACCCACCAGAGATAGTTACCATGAGCAGGTGAAGAACTTAAACATGAATCAATAGGTTGTAAGAAGACTTTTAAACTGCCCCTTCTTGTACAAAAAGCAACAGTTAGAACTAAAATTAGTGACATTTGCCTTGTGCAGCAGAACAGTGATAAACTGAGGTATGCAAGGACAAGGGAAGTAATTGTCATTTGACTCTCATCTTTTCTGTCTGACCCTAAAACTGAAGCCCAAGACATTTTCAAAAGCACTGAAGAGCAAAAGGGTTCGATCCTTGCCAACAGCCCAGCACATTCCTCTGGTTAACAATCTAAACTCCCTGTGCAATTCCTAAACTGATGAGAGTAAAAAGAAGGTCAAATCCTTAAAACATTACGTATCAAGAACTGTGCCTGTGGGACTGTCTCTGAACTCACTTTTCATTGCCGCTGCGGGGTCCAACAGCACGGACTGTTTTCTGGGTTCGGTGTAACAGGAGCGTCTCCTCCTGCTCCGTCTCATCGTCGTCCCACCGGCGACACCCCACAGCCGAGCAGATGTACTTCACCTAAGGGACAAGGCAGGAGACTCCCCTGTGCAACTTCAAAACAAGCGTAACCAACAGCGACACTCAAAGCTAACAATCCTCACAACACATTTTTGGCTGCCGGGCAATTTCGAGCACAGTGACTTTAGATGCTCGACTTGAGGGATGTTGAAAAGCCTGGTTTAAGAGATAAGGGCTTTTCAGAACTAGGATTTTCGAAGGATCCTAGAAAGTATACAGCTTGTGGTATTTTGACTACCATTTGAGTATATTTTGCATGTATTTCTACTTCTAACAGAAAGAAATCTTAGCTTTCTCTTTTCCCACTATTTTTATGGACATCAAAAGAGCATTCCTACAAGACCCACAGCATAATTCTGCTTTCATGTTGTATTTGTCTCAGCATAACTCTATCAGCTTCAAATGAAGTACTCCTGATTTATATAAAATACCACAGAGCCTTTCCCCTTTGCCTTGTCAGCTATTTAGGAGAAAGAAAACCTTATTGAACTCTCACAGTCACACAGACTTTGCAACAGTCCAAATCTCAAACAGAATTTGCATTATATGAGCAACTGTATTTTGAAAAGGGAGTTGAACACACTTAGGAAGTTTGGATTGACACCAAACTGCCAAAGACAAGAGACTGCCCGAACTCTTAAGAAGGAAGAGTCAGGCACTATTTCTCCTATGAGACATCACTGCTACTGTGAGTGTAAAGAAGGAATAAAAACAGAAATTAAAACCTCCACTTCCTGAGCACTGGGGGAGAAGCAGTCTGTTGGTGCACAGAGCCCGGTGAGGAAATCAAAAGGAATGCATGAACTCTTGTTTTGGGTCTATGCTCTTTAGCATTAGTGATGACTCCACACCACACCATAGAAGTGTTCCACATTAAAATGTATGGTGAAAATGAAAAAAAAAACCCACCCTGATTTTGCTTAAAACAAACACTGCAAAGTTTAAATTTTTTTAACTGAATCTATTTTTTACTTGTTTCAAAATGTAACAATGTTTCGGATTTACCAAATGTCTGTTCTTCACTACACAAAGCATCTACGAGCACTTTAACGACATCTGACATTAAAGAGGGGGATGGGTATGTCAGTTCTAGGACTCTGAATAATGCAATTAATTCTTGGGCTTTTTCTACCCTTTTTTCCATCTGTGCTCTTTCAGGACACACAATTTTGAACCAGCGAGTTTCAGAAGAAAAACACCTTCTGTACTAGTCAGATAGTAACTAGTTTTTAACTTTTACATATGACTCTACACTGTAAGAAGAGCTTCTTCTGAGAGATAGTAAACACACTGACAACCACTACAAGTCTTAAACTTTTGAATATGTTGAATGTTTTTCTCTTCTCATTAGTTTGGGAAAATCTGAAATTAGTTATGAAAAAAGTGTCACCTAAAGCCTTAACTGATATGCAGTAAGCTGGACAGCAAAGTCTACTTCAAGTAGAGCCAGGTGATAAAGCTGAACTCCTCTCCCAGCCTGGTAGAAAGGGGTCATCCTCTTATCCTCGCCTCTGGTCACAAACCCCCTGTCCCATCCCTTGTCCTGGCTCTGGCGCTCCCCGACTCCTTCCTACAGCTCACCCAGCATAAAACTAATCCAATAAAAACTGGGCAGTGCTCTGCTGCGTTTGCAAGTCGAATCAGCTGAGCAAAGGGTGAGACAAGGCTTAAAGCCAGCACAGGGGATGCAGCAGGAGCTCCCAGGCAGGAGGAGATGGCAGTGAGGGGCTCAGCCATGCCACCTACTCCAGCCCACTGCAGCTGTTGCCCAAGAAGCTCAGGCTCTGCCCTTTTTGCCCTGCAGTTATACACTTGAGCTGTACCACAGTTTAAATCTCAAGAGTTACAAGAGTTTGCAAGACAGTGCTCAAAACACACACACACAAGACAACTTTTCAGGCTCTTACCTTCCCTGAGTAGGAGCTCAGCCCATAGGTCGTCAAAGACTTTCCCCCAACCAGGACCACATCCTCGCCAAATTTGTAGGATGACTCCAAAAGAGATTCTACTGTGAAAGGAACTGCTTCCATGCTCTCTCGATCCCGATCCCACTGGAAAAGGTCCCCATCCAAGGAAGGGATTATCATCTTATTTCCAAATACCTAAAATAATTGAACTGAAGGTTAGCTATGATTTAACCACAATTTTATCAAAATACACAGACCACAAATGGAAACAGAAATGCTGTAGAAGCAAGTCCAGTTCATTATATTCCAGTGTCCTATTTTATGGTTTCGTATCCCAGAGTCTTATTTTTCAAAGTCACGCTGAAGACAGAAAACTTTCAGGCCTTCAAATCAAATCCATATTTCACTATTCTTATTTGAAAAACAGTTCAGTGTGTGACACTTCTTCAAAACATTTTAAAGCTCAACCAGTTGACAGGTCAGTGTTCATCTAAACTGCAGAAAACATGATGTGGGTAGAAGCATTCTCCAAGAGACAATCACTGGTGAAAGTGCAAAGTTTTGCAATTATTTGTGATAGTTTCAAGACAGTGGCATTTTAAAAGAAAAACCGAGGCTGTTTTTACAATTAATGACTACTCCAGAATATCTAACTAGGCAGGGAGAGCAATTATCACTGAAATCAGAGCTCACATTTCCCCTTTGCCTTTCCAGACAGTTAAATCTGACCACTCAGAATTTATGTTTAAGCACACTGTTCCTTTAAAACCTGCCTGGCTTTTTCCTAAACATACAAGTTAAAAAAAAAAAAATTAAAAAATCTTCACAGGGATACGATGTTTCATCCATTACAGTGAGATTTTCAAGGAGATCCTAGTTCCGAAGTATGAGTCATTGTCAGTGAGTACTAAGGGACTTATTAAGAAACTCATTATCAGCATGATGGACCGTAACTAATACTGTGGAGCCACACTGGCTGTGCCCATCAAGAACAGCGAGAAACTGTTATCCACATAATCTTAGCTACTGAGGATATGGATTAACATGGAACATTTCAATGCTTTTCCAGAACCTCTGTCCAGCTGGGCAGTATCCTACAACATTATTACATTAAATTCAGATACTTTAAGCATTAGGATTTAAAGGCTACTTCTAGTACACATATATTTGTCATTTCAAACAAAATATTCCTGCTCAGACTCTGAGGCACACAAGTGTATTACGAAGTGATACAAAAGATGCAGAAGGTTTCTGGTTATTATTTCTGGAACCACTGTGAGGATCTGAAACCACATCTACATGATTCAAATTCTCTCTAACATGAGACTTTTTATTCCTCTAACTGGGTCACAGATGAGCAAATGACATTAAGCAAAGTTGGGATTCACCTAAACAGGCAGGGAACGGCAGATGTTGTAAACGTGTGCATGTCATGACTAATATCTGCTCACCCCTTACGTTGTTAGACACACTTCATTCACAGAGAAAATTCAGGTGAGCTACCCGACAATGCTGGTGACTTTTAAGATCCCCAAAGGATTCAACACCCATACTTTCTGGCTTTGAAAAGCTTCATGATGACTGGCAATTAAAATATAAACTCCTCTCAGGAGCACAATGTGTAACTGAAGAGAAGATAAAAACAAATCCCTGAGAGTAGTTGTGAAGCTCTTTACAAAGCAAAATGAGGTATGTTCTTTCCCTCCCAGATATTTACCTTATGGCAAAAAAGGCCAAATATCCTGGAAGAGACATTGAATGAGATATGTCTGATACACAATAAATGTTGCATTAAGGCCCACCATCTGGGAGGAAAAATAAACACACGAGGCTCTATATATACACAAAAATAAATCAACAAAAAAGGTAACATTCCTGGGGCAGGGAAGGGTCATTTGTAAAAATCACCTGATCAGCAGGGAAAAAAAGCAAACAAATAAGGTTTACATAAGCATTCATATTCAGGAGCTGCCTTGTGATCCCGAGGAACAAAGGCATGCAGATTTTGGAAAACACCAACAAAAGATGCCAGTGCCAAAGTTGCAGCTGCAACCATGGTGGAGTACCTTGTTAAAACACGTATCACAGAAGAGTAATATCACAAAATGTTTTTGTAATACATTCTTTCAAAAATGCCTAATAATTCTGCACTTAGCCTGTGCAGCTGTCACCTTGCATTAATAAATCCTCTGTAAGGTTTCTTCTTGCACATGATCAATACACCTGGCCAGCAGCCTGGAGGCTCATGCTCACCTCCAGCAAAATGAGATATCCTGCTCCAAGGGCTGCAGACCACCCCATCAGTTTGTGAAGAGAGGAGGCAGCAGTGTAAACTGCCCAGCAATTGCTGCTGAGCAAGGAAGGCTCCCGGTGGGCAACTGTGAGCTCTGGGGACAGTGTGACACATGTCACCTTAAGTGTTTCCCTTGTCCCAAAGCTCTTGCTCCAGGGTCCCGAGTATGAAATTTTCCACTAGCAAACAACACAGAAACGTTGGCCATTTCTAGGAATCACACACCCAAATCCCCAGCACGCATCAAGATCACTCAGCAACACACACTTGTAATACTCCCAAGATATGGATCAAACCAAGTCATGCCTTCAGAACTTCCCTGGCAGTGGGTCACTCATCCATCACAGCCTCGGTTCCCATAGGCTGTGGAGAACAGATGACGCCGTGTGGTCAGCTCTGTGATCACCTGCCCGTGCTCCCAGCCTTGAGGGCATCTGTGGGAGCAGCACATCCTGCGTGACATTGGGAAGGAAAGGCTGAGAAAAGACACAACTGCTATGGGTGAACACATCAGGAAAGGGAGCACAGGCAGCAGGAAGAGCTGTGGCAGTGAAGGACAAAGCCAGGGTAGGAGCAGATGGGGTTAAACTGACCATGAGTAAGTGCAAGCCAGACATTTGGGTTACTATTACAAACGTGGTAATTCACTACAGAAACAGAAGAGGGGAAAAAAATCACCTTCTTTTAAGATTACTCTATCTGTAAGAGGGATTACATTACACAGTGCTGACCAGGGACTGCACCTGATTACCCCAAAGGTCTTCTTTTACTAAAATAGCTTTATTTGAAGAAAGGGGCAGGTATGCAAATGTGCCACTTGCAGGTGCCCAGATACACACACGTAACAAAAGCCATTTGTGGCCATTTGCGGCCACTTGTGGCGACATCTGGTTTTCAAAAGAGCAGTTCAGCCAGAGGCTTTGGAAGGACATTAATAAAAACATCAACTCCTATCCAAATTATGCAGCTCATTCTCTAATAGATCAGAAGCAGCAAAGGGACTTTCCTTGAAAGTACTAGCAACTAGCATCGGCATGCAGCTCAGGTAAAGGAATGACATCACCCTGTATCTCAAAAGCATTACCTCATCTCCTAATCCAAGGAGTGAGTCACCCAGGCAGTCAGCTGCAAATCTCTTGGCACAGAAAATGTAGGTTACCACGATGCACTTACACATTCCTCTGATCTGTCAATGTAAATAGCTATTTGTTCAGCTTCACCGGTCAGCAATATGGCACATAATTGTTAAGTGGCTTGTCTTTCAGAAGTAACACTTAAAAAAAAAAACCAACCAAAAAACCCCCCACATTAACTATCGAGCCCTAAATGAGACGCTGCTCTTTTCGCTCATTAAAGAGTTTGAAGCCCAAGTTCTCCATTGGCTCTGCGCGGGGCTCTGCAGCCCTATCAGCGGCGCGGGCTGCGCAATCTCCAGGCCGACGGGTGAGGTAATGCAGTTTCTAAAAAGCCCTCACAAAAAAAAGCGAAAAGGCAATAACGATCCGAAATGGCATTCGCTACCAGGGAATTTGCTGTCTAGACTCTTTACTGGAAAGGAGGGCACCGTGCGCCAGGTGCCGCGGCAGGTTGATGGGCGCGGGGAGCTGATGATTTATAGCGGTGGGGGAAAGGGAAACAGAGAGAGAAAGGAAAAAAAAAAAGTGTAAACAGAGATCAAAACGAGCTGAAGTACTAAAGCTTCCAGGAGCGGCTTAACAGCAAGCGTGACATTCTACCCCATTCCCAACACTCTTTATCATCTGAAGCAAAAATCAAGCCTGCTCACGTGCAGACACATCTGAGCCAAGTCTGGTGCCAAAACAGTCAATAATATTGTTTACAGATGGGCTGGACTGTCTAATAACTTCAAGGAAACAACTAAGCACAAGTAAAATATCTTCTTTAGAATAGGAAGCTTTATTTTATGCTTTTATGTTTTTCTCACACTTTAGCTTGTAGTTTTCAAACCTCGCTGTTACTATAAACTGTGAGAGCTTCATTCCAATTGCTAATTAACTAAGACTAACCTATATGATCTTAAATTATAAGGGCGCCAATTTTTTTCCCCTCTATGTTTATCCCTACAGTAGGATCACTGTAACGAACAGGATCAAAGCCAAGATCAAGCATGCTCTTAAGAAAGCTACTTCTCACTGAGAACTGTGTCTTTTAAGCCTCCTTAAAATTAATCTAGGCAACATATTAAAAGTCACATACGGCAGCTTCATTCTAAAGGGTAGAAACAAGAGTCTGCACAAACAAATCTGGGAAAGAGAAAGCCATCTTGCATGCTCCACATTAAAAAACAAACAAATAAAAAACCCAAACCCCACAGACAGACAGTAATGCAGGTATTCCTACTGTAAATGTTTACAAATTTTTCAGGTTAGAGATATACACACACACACACACACACACACACACACACACACATTTTTTGAGATGTCCCTAGTTTGGGCTGCTCAGGAACTGATTTATTGTCTGTTCTTTCTTGCTTAGCATGCAAGATCTTATCTGCACAGATCCACCGGTTTAGGACTTCCTTTCAGTAGAAGAGGTTATTTCTCCTCTTCACCTTAGATTTCAGGATGCTGACTCACCTGTTTTTCCTCCAGATACCTGGAGAAATCCTGAAGCACAGGACACTACAAGGGTGACATTTTAGTATTATTAACAGGCAAACCCTAATGAAACAGCAGCACACTGGGGTGACCAGCTAGAGTCTTCAAACTTCTGCAAGGCCCACAACAGCCCCGCTTCCATAAGAAGAGAACAAAGAGAACATTAGTACAATCTTTTGAAAAACAAAGGCTGTTGAGTTAAGCTATTGCACTGCGTAAAGCACTGGTAAAAGAGCAAAGTATTCTTCAGAGTATACAATGCTGTTTAACCAGCCAAGGAA